TCAGGTGATCTGGCTTGGAGGCAGAAATGAGGTGTTTATACTGAGAACAGACGAGCAGAGAATTTCTGCTTCCTGATAACCAACCAACCAGAACGTTTGTCTAAAAATAGGTAGTAAACACTACTAGAAATGTCAGGAAAAGGAAATAAACACTTCTAGAAAATGAAATACGGGCAGTGTGATTGAGGGAAAAGGGAAAACAAAAATTAGATGGACACGACTGAGAACCAGACTATCAGTTATAGTAAATACATTAACTAAAATTAGCAACAATGATACTGAAAGTACCAATTAATAAACAATATAAGCAAATGTTCAACCACTGGTGAAAATGCTTTTAATTGTTTTATTTATTAATAAATTATATTATCAGTCTAAGAATTAAGTTAATAATTTCTTAGTCTTATTTTTTGTTTCTTTTGTCTCTCTTGCTTTAATGACAGAAACACTTGAGCTGCATGAACAACAAAAGTTTGGATACAACCTGATGATCATGTTCTTCATCATGATTTTAAAGTATCCAAAGAGCATCTTGAGCTTCAGTGGAAGAAAGAACATCTGATTGTCTGTACAGTGTCACAAATTTAATTATTTGGTTAATGTAGAAATAGTGCAGAATCTAAAATAATTCTTATATAATAATATCTGATATTATTGTTTATTGTATTCGTGTAAATAATATACATAAGTCATTTCCTGAAATTACACAAATCACTTCAACTGAACTGAAAAGGACAAAAAAATGGGTAGAGTTTCAGATAGCAGCAGGAAAATGAGTGGCTCAAGGACGAATATTTTACCAACACTTTTAATCATAAGAGATCAGTAAATAATCTGTAAGAGAACGTGCAGTCTCTAATACTTCACTGATCTCCATTGAGTTTCCAATATTAAGAGATAATTATGGCTTTGCTATAATTATTATACTAAGTCCAATTCCAATCAGGCATTTTGATCAAGATTCTGCATGCGTTCGCCACTGACATTTCTGTCGGCTAAAGGCTGTGTGAGGTAATCACTGATATCCCTCAAAAAGAACTTGTTGACATTTAATCATCATTCTTCAGAAATCCTCATTCAGAGCACATGCCTTACACTGAAATACACAACACGCACACCTCTTACTACACACACTCTCCTCACACTTAACCACCTCGCCACGGGGGACCAGCACCAGACACGTCAGTCTGTTTTACTGAAAAGTGTTGTTTTCCCACAAAAGACGTGAAAACAAAAGCAGCCATTGCGGTTTTCAGTGTTATCTTTAAAGACGCATTTCACTTCTGAATATTAAGTATTGCTTGTGTCTTTTTCTTGCGCAGAGGAGTGGTTTTACACACAAAAACTATGTTTGGTGTTTGAAGCCTTGCATGTAAACTCCAGATGTTGATTTGATTCTCAGGTCTGTCATCAAAGGCTTCAAGCTGTGTGTGGTGTGTGAGTGCATGCTCTTGTGCTTTTGTACGTATGCTCTGTGTGGCGAGAAAAAAAAGGCGGGCTTAAAAAATGGAAATCTATTTCTCTTATCCTGCCCCCTGACATTTACATTTGAATTACAGTGACAGTTACAGTTTAATTTTTTCAGGAATTTCACAGTTGACATTAACTATAGGTGTATGTTTATGTGTTCATACAGTTGGTTCTAACTGCATTTGCCATTGTGTGCCCCTCACGCTTCCCTCCACATCCACCATGGTCACCATGACAACAGCCCGTTTATCAGCTGCTGTTGGCGGATCAACCGAAATTAAGACAATTCCCAAATTCCATGACTTAATGGAATTACGACTACCGGTATGCGTGTCACTAGTTTTGTACAAAATATGTTTGCAATCCTCCATCTGAGCTTGTGTGTTTCAGGTCATAGCACAAATCTAATAGGATAAAAGCACAGAGCTGAACGCAGGAGAGCAGGGGCCCGAATCAGAGCACAATGCCAATTAGATTTTTCTCTGACTCCATCTTTTATTTGATTCCCTCTCTGCCATTGATATCTCACTCAGATGAATGAGCAAGTATCCTGTATTTAACATCAAACTCTCTTTAAGGTTTCAATTATTACATTGGATGCTGTGTGTTTGAGTCTTTACGTGCAAAGCCTGTGTTTAATTTGTTCTACTCACTGCATTGTTTATTTTTTTGACTTGTATCAGGTCTGATATTTCTTTTAGACATGAATCAAATCATCACACATCTCTCCTAAACCTTGTGTGTTCATTTATGAGTTTCATTTTTTTTTTTCAGGTCAGTATGCAAGAATGGATTAAATTGACTAGAAGTGACAGTTATGTCATTTATAATGTTAGAAAAAAAGGTTTCTATTTCAAATGAATTCTGTTCTCTTTATTCATCAAATAATCCTGAATCCTGAATCATGTTTTCCTCAAAAATGTTAAGCAGCAAAACTGTTTTCAACATGGATGAAAATAAGAAATGTTCCAAAAGTTACAGAACTGAATCTATTTTCTGATTAGTTCACAGATATTTCTTCTCACAATGCCTGTTTTAAACACTAATAATAATCTCTCGTTTATTTTCATGTCAGACAACACTGATTTTTAACAAACCAGATTCTGTGACAGCTTTATTCCCTCAGTTTTGAACCCAGTCTCTATATATGTAGTCTTGCTCTGCCAAATTAAAAGTAATTATGCTTTCGTTTCCGCTGTAGTAGAACCGCGTTCGAATTCAATAGCTAATTACCTCTAGCTTTGGGATGTGTGTGTGTGCGAGTGTGTGTAACAGTGGTCATATTCATTTGTTCATTTCGCTGTTTTAAATATTCAAGTCCATAAATGGTATCTTAGCGACAATGTGATTACCGTGTGATCAGGTTGTTGTTCCAGCTTGCATCTCACCTACACTCTAAAAAATGCTGGGTTGTTTTAACCCAACTTTGGGTCAAATATGGACTAACCCAGCCGTTGGGTTAAATTTTTACATTACATTTTTAACCCAACATTTCGGGTTTGTCCATATTTGACCCAAAATTGGGTTAAAACAACCCAGCATTTTTTAGAGTGTACTTTTCACTCTCATCTTTGTATTTCATCACTGCCAAATCAAGATAAAAAAGAGTTTCTGAGAGAGAGACAGATGTTCTCAGTTCAAAATCATCCCATTTCTTTTTAAGTTTATGATGACTATAATTAGTAACATAGGCCTGTTCTGCTGAATGATGCTTGATTGTCATCCTTCCTTTCAGAGCAGCGGTCAGCGGCCTTTTTGACTTATTCCTGAAGTTAGATTGTCACTTCGTAAGGTCTTTTTTTTTTTTTCATCAGAAAGAAAGTGTGTATTTGTGTGCAAGAACTACATATCATTTTCATCTGAATAGATGAGATGTTCAGCCATCTTTGGCCATGAGCTAGTTACATTCTATCGTCTGCCTCTATCAATGAGATTAACTGTGTGTTTCAATGAGGCTGGAACAGTGAGAGAGGACTCAATGCAGAATGAGTTTTAAAACAGTTTATTGAGACACACAGCAGGCGGGACAAGAGATGCTGGGAGTGGGATGAGGTTAACACAATCCAACAGAAGGCAAGGAATGAAGCATAAATACCAACTTGACTTGAATTTGACATTGGCTTGACCCACACAACAGGAAACGTAGGCAGGAACAACATATGACAAAATCCACAACTTGAAACTATGAGCAAGAAAGAAAATGAGGCACTGGGTAACACAGGTAGCACAACAAACTTAATTACAACGAACTGGCAAACCATGGAGAAAAGAGAACACAAATAGTAATCAGAGAACATGAGGTGAGCACACTCAGAAAATTAAGACTTAACAAGGGCTTAAACAAGGGGGCATCATGGTAACATGAAAACAAGGAAGCTGAACGAGAGGAACAACACAAACAGAGACAGAGCCATGTGCTCAAGCACAAAAAAAACAAGAAAACTTTGAAACAAGTCAGACAGAAACAGACCGATCAGATCAGGCATTTTGGGAAATCTCTGCAGAAACTTCCCCCACCTCATCCATTTTTCTCAATGTCAACATTTTCTCCTGCGGTTCATGTGCCTGCTAGCTCAGAGACTGCATGTGTTTCACAGGCGGTCCTGCTTTTCAATGGAACATAATAGCTATTTTGAAAATGTTCTTTAGAAAACACTGCGCAGTTTGATCTGCTAGTTGTCAGTACAGAGGTTGTGCTTTAGCAAATGAACTCAATTAATCAGAAAACAATGCGTGCTAAAATGTGTTACATTTTTATAATAAACTTGATGTCCATTCTCTCTTTTAATGATGATCTTTAGACAAGTGTTTCCAAACCTTTTTGTGTGTGTTTACCTCCACAGCCCAATCAGTCTCTGGTGCCATTTCATTGACATGTGAAAACATCAAAAAATGCATTGGTTTTGACTTTGTACATAATATTATATAACATTATCATTAATAGTATTAAAATGGTCATTCATTATTACAAATTTTTGAAATAAAAAATCACCAAGTAGCTTTTTTTCTCTCTATCAAAATGAGGTAGCCTACCTGAGCTTGTTTGTGTTTGACAACTTTTGACAGTTTAAAAAACTTCCTTTATTTAGTATGGTACAATATATTCAATTCTTTATCAGATGTATTCTCATAAAAATAAACGATTTCTTCGAGATTAAAGAATGTAAGGCTTGATGAAATTAGTTGTTTGAATGAATGTGTTTTTTTTTCAGTAAAAGAACATATGGATTAATATTTCATTTATTTTCCACAAAATAAGATGATGTTTAAAACATCCACACATTTGGATGCAGTAAGATTCACAGAATATATCTTATGCCATATTTGAAAATGGATTTCTTTCCAAATTTTATGAAAATATAGATTTGTTGATTTAATAGATCAACATCGCCCTCTAGTGTAGATATAAAGCATTAATCTTACAGAATTTAGGAAGTACTCCTAATTTGTGTAGAGAGCAGTTTCACTGCAAAGCTTTGACATAAGTGTGTGATGTATAAACAAACTGAATATGTTCTCTTGTTTCTCAGAATATGCCCAGGCTGCACAATGGACTCCAACAACACAGAGTGGGGCCTGTACTCGGCATCCGACGCCCTGGGAGTGGGAATCTCCCTGGAATCCACTCTGTGGCCACTGCTCCAGAACACAAGCCTCATCAACCTCAGTTCCGTTTTCAAGCTCAATGGAAGTAATGTTGAGGCTGAAGGTCAATCCTATGATCCTCTGGGCGGCCACTCACTCTGGCAGGTCATTCTCATCGTTATCTTTACAGGACTGCTGTCCCTTATTACTATTATCGGCAACATCCTGGTCATGGTGTCGTTTAAAGTCAACAGGCAGCTTAAAACAGTTAACAATTACTTTCTACTGAGTTTAGCCGTTGCAGATCTCATCATTGGAGTCATCTCCATGAACTTGTACACTGCCTACATAATCATGGGCCAGTGGGCGATGGGAAACTGGGCGTGTGACTTCTGGCTAGCCATAGACTATGTAGCCAGCAATGCATCTGTCATGAATTTGCTAGTCATTAGCTTTGACCGCTATTTTTCTATTACGAGGCCTCTGACGTACCGTGCCAAACGTACCACCAGGCGGGCAGGAGTGATGATCGGCCTGGCATGGTTTGTGTCGCTCATACTTTGGGCACCTGCTATTTTGTTTTGGCAGTATTTTGTTGGAGAAAGGACCGTTCCACCGGATAAATGCTACATCCAGTTTCTCTCCGAGCCCATTATAACATTTTGCACCGCAATGGCGGCCTTCTACCTGCCAGTGACAATAATGAGTGTTCTGTACTGGCGAATATACAAAGAGACGGAGAACCGTTCTCGGGAACTTGCAGGATTACAAGGCTCGGGCGCACGGTTTGTGGGTGTCGAACGACCGCGTTTCCACCTCCGCGCTACTGGGGGGAGCTCTAGAAGCTGCAGCAGCTTCGAACTGGGCCAACCTGGCCACAAACAAAGCTCCTTTCGTGGTCTGAGCGGCCGCTTCCACTGCTGGGGGTGGAAGTTGGGTGGCAGGGATAAAGGTGGCCCACACCAGGAGGTGGATCAGAGCAGCAGTGACAGCTGGAACAACAATGACACTGGACTTTCAGCCGACCACTCGGGCTCATCTGACGAGGACGAGAGCGCGCCATCCACCACACGGGCGATCTTCTCCATTGTTCTCAATCTGCCCGGCATGAGGGCAGCTGTAAGCTCCCAAGTTACTTCTTGTGAGGATTTGAACACAGGGGAAGATCTGTTACAGTCGCCTGAAGAGAAGGACGGCAGGGGTGGCAGCATCTCGTGCTCCGTCACCAACGGCAACAAGCGTTTTGTCGCGAGTATGGGTAAAGTTCCCTCAATGTCCTCCATACAGCCTTCAATGGATCCAAGCGCAGATGGTGGGAACACCACCATCAAATCTGCCTCAGCACCCATAACTTTCAAAGAGGCAGCTCTAGCAAAGCGTTTCGCAGTTCGCGCAAGGACTCAAATCACCAAGCGGAAGCGCATGTCGCTAATAAAGGAAAAGAAAGCGGCACAAACTCTAAGCGCCATCCTTTTCGCCTTCATTATAACGTGGACGCCTTATAACATCATGGTGCTAGTAAACACTTTCTGCAATGGCTGCATACCTGAGAACCTCTGGGCGCTAGGCTATTGGCTATGCTATGTTAACAGTACAGTAAATCCTATGTGCTATGCACTTTGCAACAAGACTTTTCGTACCACTTTTAAGATGATCCTGTTATGTCGCTGGGATCAGAAAAAAAGCAAGCCAAGCTTTCCACAAAGACAGGCTGTGAGGTTTCACAGAGGTATACCAACAGACTCTACATAGCAGCTCAGTGTTGAGGCTAAATTGCTAATGCTAAAATGTAAGTTGCAAGGGGAGATTCCTCAAGTATCTGTACTATATACTGAAGCGTTAATGTGTGAGTGTCAATGTGGATGTGTAGTTCAGTCTCTTAGGATCCCTGGTCACTAGATTTTAACATTAAGGCACTGTGGTTTAGTGTACAAAGTGCTTCACACCTGAGCAAGTGCAATTGCCATAAATATGTCCTGTGACTTTTATACTTTATGCCTTTAAAATGGCAGTGCCAACTTTCAGGAGTTCAGCAGCAACATATAAAACAGTACATTTCAAATGGAAACTGTGTATCTCGAACTTCAGAGAGTCGATCGGATCCGATACTCGCAATTATTTGTTTGAATATTTTAGGGTTGAATATTAGATATCTCATTCTTGTCAATGAACAGAAACTAAAATGTGATTATTATTTTCTTCAAATGAGGTAATGTATATCAAAGTATTTACGGTAATTAATAATACATTTTTTGTAAGTGAAGTTTTCTGATTTCTGTGAAAGCGTAACACACAGAGGTTCAGTATCTTTGCTGTCTTGGTAAGTGTAAGTTTTCTTCTGCAACATGTGAGCCACAGTTGAACACTTAATAGGTTTTTCTCTCCTGTTGGTTATTCATAAACAGCTCTTCCGTAAGCTGCAGTTGTATAATGCGTGATTGTTTACATTTGTTTTGCTACAAGTATTTCAATAGCTATTATGTACGTTTTCAGTGCACATTGAATATGTTTGTATATGTTTGGAATGCCTTATGTTTGAACTTTGAGATTGTGCACTGATTATACTGGGCTAGCTGTGAAATCATTTATGAAACCTAAAGAATGTTTTTAACTCTGTTTAATCAACATTCAGATTTTGACAGTAGTGCGCTGGGATGTAATTCCATTTACAACCAAACTGTTTGCTTTATCATCACCTTATTTTGGAGTGCCAGGTTTGAATAACAAGCCAAAATTGTTAGCCACAGTAGCTGCATATTTGCTGCATAAAAAGCACACCAAATTTAGACCTATCAATCAAACATGCATGTTTTTTTTTGTTTGTTTTTTTTTTGTTTTTTTTTCAACTATGGGCTCTGTTGGCCCTGTGGAGAAAATAAAATATTTAAAAAACACTCAGATTATTTAAATGACCCACTAACAATGTCCAACAGAGGACTTACAGTACATGCATTTTCATGTTTAAAATGTCATGTAAACACAATGTCAGTTCCATCACATCTCAACTGATGTGTTGTTTTTAATTACCTTCTGTGATGGAAGTCACATTTTAAACATTTATGAAATTTTTCTTGCTAAGGCTAATTTCATAGCTTTTTATGTATCCTAAAAATACACACTTTAATAACATAGTTCATACTTTTTGTCAAAATTAGTTGAAAACAAAAATTAAATATTCTTTGGAGTTTAGACACATTTTACATTTACCATTCATTTCCAACCCTGGTGTTTTGAGGAATTACAAATAATTACCTGATTTGTAACTTAGCTGTCATTTGTATTAGAATAATTAAACTAACTTTTTGATATGTTTTTATGTTTTACATTGCAAAAAAAGCTGTAAATTTTGTAAGGCCATGTAAGATCAAAGTTAAAATTGAGCTTCTGTGCGGTGTTGTTTGTGATTGTGTTTGCGTTTTGTTCCAAATTGGCTTTGTACAAGTCAAAGTTTAATGATAGAGTTACTGTCAAATTTGTAAAACTGTTGAATGTTTCAAAAATACAGCCCAGTTCAAAATGCATTTTTATCCTCAGATTGTTTCTCAAAATAAATGTAACATTTTAAACATGCATCGTTGCTCTTGGTAATTACACAACATATTTGTGGAAACTTTTTAAGGCATAAAGACCTAACACTGTCTGTTTATGAAAGAAGATGCACCAATTGCTATTGGCGGCATGTGATGACAGTACTCATGTGATCTAGGAAGAGGAGCAGCACAGCCAATGTCACAAACACTTAGTTGATCCCTCAATTTACTGGAGACTCCATCGAGGCAAGTTTGCATTTTCTTTTAGTACTTCTCTTTTTATGTTTATTCTATCTTGTTAGATTAATTCACAGCAACAGGTTTCTGGTTCATTCTTGATGTCGGGTTAGATCATTTCGGATTAGCAGTGAAATTCTAGACTAATCGTACAGAAGTAAAACTAAGCTCGTACACTGAATGATGTGTGAAATTAATCTGAGAGAGATGTATCACTATGTTACAAGGCTTATCAATAGGTTCATGCCGTATTGATGACAAGGTTCAATTTTTTGTAACGATAGTGTATGTGTTTTAGTGAAGTGTGTGTGTATACATTAGTAAAGTTGTAAAACTTGACTATGATCTCTGAAATTTTGTTCATGTTTATCTTTTTTTATATGAAAATGTCACATTTTCCCCAGGCACAGATAAAAGCTATGTTCTGGATTAAAATAATATTATATAAACCTATTGAGAGCTAACAGGAAAGTGTCTGACACTACAAGGCTGGAGGACAACACTGATTTCAGGCCTGCTGGCCACAGTCATACATCAGTTTATGAGATCAGTCTAGCTCACATGACACTGCTCTGGCGCACACACACAGATGAAATTCCTGTGCTATTTTCAGACATTCAGTATAAACTATATAGACAAAAGAAATAAAAAAATTTTTTTTATTATTTTTATTTTTATTTTTTATATTTTTATTTTTATTTAATAATATCAGTTTTTTTATTGATTTTGTTCATGTAAAGCAAATATTTACCAGTATATTCGAAAGTGTTTTAAAATCAGTATGTTGTGCTTTTTTTAAGTTATAGTTAGCACCTTACTTAAAGAAATAGTTGACTTCAAAATGAAAATTATGTCATCATTTCCATCAAGTTTTTTCAAACCTGTGTGAATTTCTTTCTTCTGCTGAACACAAAGGAAGATATTTTGTAGAATGTTGGTAACCATACAGTTAATGAGCCCATCTAAATCCAACGCACATGGCACCCTTTAGCGTCAATATAACACGCACAAAACTTTGTTCGGTTATGGGTAGATTTAGGTCTGGGGTAGGGTTAGGGTTATACCACTAGGAGGCGCCTTCTGGCCCATATATATCTGTGTCTCATATTGACCCTGCGTTGGTGTTGGACGTAGACGAAATGTCAAAAGCACCAGTATATGACGACTTGGGATGAGACCGGGCTGGAAAAAAATACGAAGGAAGTTAATAAGGGTACAACAACTGTTTGGTTATCGACATTCTCCAAAATATCTTATTTTATGTTCAGCAGAAGAAACTTGATGACAGAATTTACATTTTGAAGTGAACTAATCCTTTAATTTGCTTTTCTAACGCAAAACAAACACAAACGTCTTACTTTCCATAACATGTAACAATGTTGTATACTTACTTTTGAAGGTGATGTACAATAACATAACATGCTAAAGTAAATCCGAAATTCTGCTCTTTACAATAGAAATGTCTCTTTTTTTTTACTTTGTTTTGCCTATTTTTAATCTATTTGTTTCATCCTCCCAGGTCAATATAGCAAGAAACAAGATGCAAAACATTCAGACGATGGAGATGCAGCTACCTGTCCTGCGAGAGAGTTTCCACTCTTCTCCCTTCAGAGAGAGAGTGAAAGAACGGAGGAAGAGCAGCCTGACAAATCTTATCAGAAGACAACAGCAACAGTTATTACGCCAACAACAACAATCAGAATTGCATCAGAAGCAGCAGCTGTCCCCAACCACACAGCAACACACTGGACATGCTCAGTTGGTCCGCTCCTCCAGTAGCCCGGCGAAGCAAATATATGAGCAAGAGAAAGTGAAAGATATTGGGAGGCAGAGGGAGCTGTCTCTCAGACAGTCCTCAGCTACAGCGTCACAGCCAGCATCATCACGGCAGCTGCTCTCGGCGGTGAAGAGAGAGAGAGAGGGATTAGGAAAGGAGGGGGAGAGGGAAATAGGAGAGAAGAGAGAGCAGCAGAGAGAACGAGAAAGTCAGTCTGAGCACACACATTCCCACCATGGCCTGATTGCTAAAGGTGTTCGCCTTCTGAGGAACATGGGAAACCAGGAGGCCAAGCAAAAGAAGACTACCATTACAACTGGAGTGGAAGATGCTGGGAATTGGGCGAGAACTGAGGACCGAGACCATGAGCATCTTAAGAAGATTAAGAAAAGTAAATTACCGAGCGACTCTGGCAAGAAGAAATCCAAATCGGAGGGCTCCAAAAGTTCTGTATTTTCCAACATCCGTATCCGCAAGGGCCTATCCCGGAAAGTGTTGTCCAAAGAGGATGTACTGGATGGTGGGATTAGGATTAAGAGCGTGGATGCCAACGACAGCAGCAATGGTGGAATGTCTGGTGATGAGCTGGAGGGTCTCACTCCAGACAGCAAACAAATCGTATCAGAAAGCAGGCAGTCGAGTCTGGACATGACTGATGATTTTAAGAGAGAGACTGAGGGATCGGGGTCAGATACAGATCTCTACAGCTACCACTCAGCCACCGAGGCTCAGGATCTGCTGTTGGATATTCAGAGGACCATCAGACAACAGCAGCAAATGGAGGGAGTTGCTGAGGGTCAAAACTGTAGCGATGTGGTCAGGGAAGGACTAGTAGGGCCCAAAGGCCAGGTCACTCCGGGTCTTACTAGTAGTAGCTTTGCTTGTATGGGTGAGCCAGAGAAGGTAGGAGGAGTATCTGCTTCTGACAGCAAAGAACAAGATCTTAAATGTGGTAGGGATACAGTAGGAGGAGTGATTACGACATTAAAGGTTGAGCAAGGTGGCGAAGTGACTGATATTGCAAATAAAGCTGTACACTTGACCAATTTGGCCAATGACTATAGCATTCATGAAACTTTTACTGAGACAAGTAGTGTCCAGGATATCTTAGCTGTGACCAGATCAACCAGTAACAACAGTTTTCAGAATACTACAGAAACATCCACTTCCTACGAGAGCGCTGAAGAGATCTTGGAGAGTTCATCTTTATCATCTCCTCTTGAAGAGTGCCATTATGGCAGCAACAGCCTGACCCAAAGCCTAGAAGTTGGTCTCAATGCAAATAATCAGACCAGCTCAACATCCAAAATAAGCCGGGTCATTTTCATACCACAGAAGAGCATTAGTAGTGTAGAACTGAACGTAGAGGGTGATGGTGGTGTAGAGGAGGTCGAGGGAGCATGTTCCAACCAACAAAGAAGGAAAAGCAGTGCCGCAGCTATCACACAGTGGGCATCCGAGAACTTTTTAGGCTCAGGGTCAAGACCTTGTAGAACTGCCAGTGCAAACCTTGGAGTTAAACCTTATCCCACAATACACCCGTCTTACGTTAAAACAACCACCAGGCAGCTCACTTCACCCATAATATCTCCTTCCCCAAGCCCTATGTGTCCTCGCAGGGCTGTCTTAGAGTTAGGCTTAGGTCAAGGGTCATCCAGAGCAGGGAGCTGGAGAGCACGGAGACAGCGGTCCTGTAGCATTGCCGGTCCAGTGGGTTGCCATGATGAATGGTGTGAATCCATACATGCTCAATCAGAGCTTATTGAGAGTGGCCTCCAGACCGTCAGTTCGAGGTACACACCCTCCGGATTTCCAGATGTGTTTTCAGGTGAGTCAGTGTGTCTTATATATGTGTATACCCAGAATTTGCCCAGAGGCTGCCCATCATACTGTATACTACACAATTGTTTGTAAAAATGGTCAACTCTAACAGAGTCGGCTGTTTTCATTGACAATCACATATTGTATGATAGGCCCAGGCCATCAGACATGGGACATCAGACATGCTTTATATTTTAAGCTGACTTTCAAACATTCATTTGTCATACATATCCTAGAAATCAGGAGCATGTTTCTGTAAAAGTTGGGTGTGATCCTCAGTCATGATGCATTTCTTCTCTAACATTTAAGTTCACAAGTGTTTTCAAATCTGTTCAGTGTTTCATGTGCATGTATTGTACATTACATTTAATGTACAGTGTTTAAATCTAGTGTGTTTCAGCCCTTAGTCAGATGCCGTTTAAATTGTGATTTTTTTTCGAGTGAGATTCATGTTCCTTGATCAATATTCTTATTGGTTGTGGAACAACATTCATATCAACCAGTCCAGTCTGGGTTTAGGGCTGGGTCATGTACATTATAATTATACTCTGATTTTAGGTGTAGGGTTAGGGTCAGGGTTGATCGGGTTAGAGAGGATTTTTACTGTTTGTTTGACTGGAATGTTGTGCCCAGACCAGCCAAAAAAAAGATGGTGGAATATATTTCAGAACAAATGCAAGGTAAAAATGTTGTCACAGACTTTTTTTTTTTCTTTCAAATCAGTGATTCTCTGAACTATTATAATAGCCTGGGCATGATGTAAATCTCCTTTTCTTTTTTCTGTACTTTATTCTGGTTCATTCCCCTCAATGCTCAGTGAGCAGTCAAAAAATATAAAACATGGCTCTCAAATATGTATGATACACACACAATCCCACAGAAACACACAGACACACATTAGCTGCTGGCTAGGAAAGCTCTGGCTTCTGCCTCATTGAGTCAGAGTGCCACAGGAAGTTGCTCAAATACACACTTGTACAAAAGCACACACACACACACACACACACACACACACACACACACACACACTGTTTTAAAGTGGTTTATGCATAGACTGCTCTTGACAAACCATTCATGATGGTGACACCAGGACTGATCAGATACAAAGAAGAGAAAAAGATTTAAAAAAAAAAGATGAGATTTATAAAGGGTGACATTTTTTCCCTCCAATTTTTGCCTGTTCACTTCCTGTCTAGATACAAAGC